GCAAAGTCTAATCCATGACCAGAAATCAGTGTGTGAAGTAGTTGGAAAAGTAGCATTTCAACGAAAGAATTGAAAAGTCCCACAATAGTGATCATTTCGTCGTACCGTCTCGAAATTGAACAGAAATGAAAAGCGTCAAAAATTCAAATTTTAAACACACAAAAGTCGTATGCGGACAAATTAATTTCGAATGCAAATGAGGTAAATGCCGTTGAGTCTCTCGTTTGTTGTAAATATTGAAACGTAGAGCTTAAAACCGATGAATGACTTGCGATTTTAATTAAAGTTGACTGTGAATAAAAACATTCAATTTGAATTGATTTAAATTTTAGAGGATTTTGTTGAACTCAAGCATATCTTATGTAAAAAAAACGGTTAAAAATTCCAAAGGTCAGAGGTGGCAAAGAAAAACCGGTGCAATTTTCGGCGAAAAATAGTTAAATTTCGATTGATTCAAATTATGCTTTCTGTTTTGATTACTGTAAATGTAGCAGAAATGGGATTTTTTTTCTAAATTCCAACTTCATTGGATAACTGAATCTTAAAAGTTGTTCTCTCTTCATTTTGCATAAAAGAAGAAACAAATCAATCGAGAAAGAAAAAGAAATAAAAAAAAAACGAATCGAGATAAAAAAGAACAAAATTAATGAATAGTATACTCTCCTAAGTGGCAAAATTCACCATCAAAACATTGATATTCACTGAACTCATTAGCTTTGGCTTAACAGGGTAAGAATTTCTTCCCAAGAAATAATGTTCGAACGAATGAAAAAATGTGCAATTTAGATTTGAAAAACAATTGACTAAACCTTAAGTGCACTCAAAGCTCAGTCTTATCAGTCAATCACATTTGAAAATGACTGGAATAAAATGTGTCAATTAACTTCGTTTATCGTTAAATAGCAGTGTTCGCTTTTCTCACACACACACGAAAACAATTTGTTTACCACGAACGCCACGAAGCAAAAAAAAAATCATAAGGACTCGAAACGGTGACTAATTTATTCTAAAAGAGCGGTTTTTGTATCGTTGTATGCGATCATTAACATGACTTTGAATAATAATTAAAATAAAGCGGCAAATGAAAACGGAACGAAACACAACGAAAAAAGAAACCGCGACGTGTAACCATTCGAAAATTCGGTATGTTTCGGCGTTCCCTTTCGATTAACTTTCCATTTTTAATTTGGCAACTTTGCGTCATTTTTTCTGGCTGTATTACAGTTGAGTTGCTTTGGCTGTTATGTGTTCACACTATGACGAAAAGAAATTAGCCACAGCACAGGAAATGTTTGCGGGTGAAAATGAAAATGATTGCCCCTCGCACGCGTCTCCTGTCTCTATCTTTATTTGTATGATGTCAAGTTACCGAAAATTTTTCGGCGGTGAATGCAATGCGCTCTATTCAATGGGCAACAACAATAGAAAAAATATCAATTAAAAGATAAACGGTTTCCGTTGTATTGTCTCTGGTCTGGGTTGGTGCCATCTCGCTGTTTATAATGTGTATGTGTGTCTTTCTGTGTGACGAACATACCACCACCCCAAGCATAACACCACTCCAAGAAAATAATGAAAACAATGAAGAAGAAGCTAGAAAAAATGCCAAGTGAGAGATAATCATCGCGGCGCAGTCGAATAAAAAATGTTTTCACATTAAAATCAAAATTGATTCAGAGGTTTCACTTGGAGTACAGAGAAAAGAAATCGTGAACCGTCACATTAATTACACATCCAAGCCTCTCGGATTCACTTCATCATGCTTCTTCATTCGAACACACACAAATTTCAAATTGCCGATGGGCTGTTGATGCCTACGAATGCTCGTGACGGAGTGTCTTTTTCCCAATTCAAATATCACACTATAGAAGACACTTCTTCGTTGTAGAGTCAATTTTCATTGATTTAGATTGTTTTCGTTCGACTTAAGACTACTCATAACGTTTGTTATTCAAGCGAAAATGAAATCGAATGACGAATTTTTCGACAATTTACTTTGCAATTGTTTGCTCAAGTGTTTTTCCATTTGAAAAACTAACGACTCAATTTTAATTATCCAAAAACATGCAGATTTACATGCCTCATGCTCAAACACTGAAATTCGACACAAACTTTTTCCAGCTTAGGTGAAGATTAGAGTGATATATTTGCTGTCGAAAAAAAAAAACACACGTTTAAAAAAACAAAACACCATCAAAATCAAGTTGTCATGGCACTTTTCCCTCAACACTTCAATTAGTTTCTGTTTTGCACCGAAAGAGAAGAAAAAATTGCCGTGACTCAATCCGTAGTTGTGTTTATGTCATATTTTTTCCTGTCTATCACCCTCTCCTCCTCCTCCTCTCTTCTTCTCTTCTACTTTTTCTCCCTCTCTCTGGCTCGCTGTGCCAGCGAATTGCGCCGAACATGTGGTTCAGTTCAAAAGTTAATTAGTGTAATTAATAATGAGTGCAAAAGTGACAGAAAAAGATGATTTGCCTGTATGTTCTGAGTTGGTTGTTAAGCTTTTTGACTCGACTCTTGTTTTTTTTCTTTCTCGGTTCAATTGGCGAGACATAGCAACTGTTAATCCTTTTTATTCGTAATTTTTTTTTACTGTCTTTGTTGTTGTTATTTGTTTCGGTCACTTTGTTCCCTTTGCATCATTTAGTTGCGATGACGCTTCGGAGTTGACGACGAAAGGGGTGCGTGCATGTGTAAATTGAGCACATTTGTTTTAATCTAATGGCCACTTAACATTATTTTAAAGATAAATCGCTTTTGAGTGGGCTAAGTGCTTTCAATTTTGAATCCGCCCGTCTGCACCGTGACCCAAGATGAGATTTTTCGGTTTTAAGCCTGAATTAGCCGGATCTTTTATGGGCTCAAAGCGCTGCAGTTGTTGAACGAGCGGAATGAGTAGAACTTTGACTTTGAAGAGTTGCTTTAAACGATGGTTGAGAGATGAAAGAAGGTGTCAGTTCCTTCTTTTCTTTGTCCACTGTGTTTATATTTCTTTTGGTTAGTCTCTTTTACTTCTTTTGTAGCCTCTTTTGGTGTTTATACTTTTGTTTCAGGACTTTTACATCCTTTAATTTGTTTGGTTTCTTTTCGCAAAAAGAAAAAAAAACGGCTTCAAAGGAGCAAAAACCACTTGCCACTTCAAAAACTCTTGCCTCTTTGCATCTTCTGCCTCTTAGTTTCCCTTATTTCGAGGAGAGAAAGAACGACATCGACAACATTCAAAGACTCTCACCCTTGTAACGACCGGCATATGAAGAAAAAAAAAAGGTTGCCGTTTTTTTTCTTCAGCGTTGCCATCGTCGCCCATAAAAAATGACACCACCTTTCGGGGATTGAAATTATGGAACAATAAAAAATTACAATAAGCACTTAAACAATCATAGAAAAGGAACTGTCCACTCACATAAATATATTGTGTGCCATTGTCGCTCCGCCGAAAACCAATTTATTATTCTCAATTTCGGCAACAATATATATTGACTATGGGCCAAAGTCTATGGCAATGCAGTCGAATTCGGTGCGAGGACGACGAGATTGACCGTATGGTTGGAATTGTGAAAGAAACCAAGACCGTTCGTGTGTTCGATGGAGAAAAAAAAGTCCTTAAAGATGTTATGAGAGTGTAATATTTCCGCCTACCAATACCGGGGGCCATAGAACTGAACCGGTTATTTATGGTCTTGCCGTTTATTTTTTCTGGTCAGTGTTTCGTTATTGTTGGTCCTTGGCTCATGTATTTATTGTTGGTTACTATCGACAGTCTATTGTGTTTGGCAAGTGATTTCGATGTGCGCACCACATTTTGATGCTGACTCAAATCATTGCGAAGAGATCATTCAGCTCTTTGAACACATGCAGAACATTATGGCGAGGGAAGGAGAGGGAAAAACGAAGTTTTTTCTTTCGATAAATCGAAATTCTTCAAAACGAAGGATTTTTTCTCTATAAGTTGAACATTACTAAAAGAGCGTGAAAATCAGGAGTCAAACGACATTACCCAGTTTTAAAACACAGCCGGTACGAAACGACAGTCGTTTTGAAAATTTTATTGCGGCTAATGAAAAACACGTACATTGCAAAATGTCAAGAGAAATTGAGGAAGAGTGAGAGTGTAGAGGGAAAAGTAAAATGTGATATGTAGAGAGACGAAAGGGGGATGAAGAGAAGAAAAAAAAGCGCTACAAGTGAAAGGAAGAGAAAGAGCGAGAGAGCAAAAGAGAGAAAAGGCCGAATGCCAAATAGGCATATATGAAAAAACTGTATTCGACTGATGCCTCCACATGTTCGATAGATCGGCCGGCGTGCTGATTGAATATTACATAGAATGAAGTGGTTTTTTTTCGGTGTTTCGCGTTTGACGCGTCTTAACATCGGTCATGATGTGAATATTTCAGTTACACACACACATGCGAAAAAATCAAACTCACGTGCACACACGATGTGGCCTAATCATGACCATATGATTGATTAGCCAAATTTGGAATTCATGTTACTTGGTTTTCAACGTTGTTGTTCTCTATCTCTCTTTCGTTTCTCCCCTAATTGTTTTGCTTTGAAGCTTCTACTTTCGCTTGTGTTTATGTCGCTCCGTTTAAAAAAAAAAGAGTAAAACTTTGTCTCTCCTCCTTCCTGTGTTTCAACGAAGGGCAAAAAAAAAAATCTTCGACATATTGATTTACTTGCTAAATGACATCGCGCATTGAGTGCATGGTTAACAAATGGCATTTGCAATTTGATCTGTGCCACAGACCAAATAGCGGTCTAAATTGTCCCATTTCACTTATAAATTGATAACAAAACCAATAAATTGAAGTGGAAATGAAACCAATTTTCCCGCCCATCGGCGTCCGGGCTAAACATGACGACTACGACGAAAAAAAAAGTTGCCGGTTCGACAAAGATTCGTTGTAATTTCGTCCGATTTGCAAACTAAACGAAATCGATGTTTGCATCGCCACATGTATATTCATTGTTTGTTTATTTCGTTTGCATTTCAGGTGGTGTACATTGGCAATACGAGAACGGTGCACTGCATGGCATAACAATTTAATGTTGGAAATGGGCCGAAATACGGATTTCATCGATACCGTTTATACACCATTTAAATTCAATTACTAAGCCACTAATCACTCGCTCGATCTGCCATCGATGCTCCGGTCAACACACGGTCGTGTATGTGTGTCCAGTGAAAATTACAGTGTAAACAGACGTGCAACGTACTGAACGGTAAAAAACAAGACGAAAAAAAAACATTGTGCTTCCGAAATTGTGAAAAGAACGAGAAAAAAAAGGAAGAACGGAACGAGACGCGAGAGAGAAAAAAAAACATTGAAATATTTCGAAGTAGTAGCGAACTTGAAGATAAAAATAGCACTGGCAATTGCAACCAAAATTGAACATTTCACGTGGCGCGCTTTTTCAATCATTTCCACGTAAATTTTTAAGCGGTGGCGAAACAAACAGCGAAAAGGCGTCGTCGCCGTCGTGTGGTGGTTGTGCGCGAGAAAAATATGCAAAATTCACAAGAGCGACGCAACACAAATCAACTACTACAATCATCGATCTACAAACAAAAATCACATAAACGACATCTGAAACGTTTGCACGCGTCCAAACAACAATGCGGTTAGTTGAGATGAGAGTTTTATGGGTGGGCGAATGGCATTCGTCGAATGGTAAATTTTGCTAAAAAAAGGATTTTATGTTTTTAGATGAGCCAAGAATCAATGGAGATATCGACCCATCGAACACATCAAAAATGCAATTACAGCAACAATTATCACAACAACAACAAGAATTATTACAACAACTTCAGGTAAGAGATAATGAGATAACGAAACGTTGTTAGCAACCACGGAATCAACGTTTAGTCGTTTGACTTAATCCTTCAATATTCCAATTTTTCAACCGATTTAGTTGTTACATCATCAGTATTTGATGCATCATGGTATCAATTTACAACAGCAATTTCTTGGTCACAAACAAAAATCTCAACAGCTTAACGGCGGTGAGTAGCAACAACATTTTTATCATTTCTTTGTGCTAAACTAGCTCAAGTCTGAGTGTTTTTTACCATTTTAATTAGTCAGAGTTGGGTTTGAATAACATTTTGAATCAAATTTAAATCCATTGACTATCAAATTACCAAATGAAAAAAGCCCATATTTTTATTGTGAAGAAAAAAGAAAGAATTTGCAAACGTTTCATTTTTCACAGATCTCTTTCAAGTGGACAATGCATTGAGCCTCATCAAAATTGGCGCACTTGATGGTTTGGGCAATAATTGCATCGAAAATACTTCGTTGCATGATTTGATTTATCTGAGTGAGTTTACTTTATTTCATATTAATAAAACAACATTTCCTGTACATCAGGACCTAATGTTAGTCAAGTGTTTGCTCTCTATCAATGCACGATCATGGTCATGTTAATGGAACTTTTTTGACTTCTTCCATTTCGAAGAATTACCTTTTGAAACATGTATTTTCGTCGAAATTTGGAAAAAAGAGATTAAAATTTTACCAAATTACTTAAGAAAAATCTCTTCATATCTTTCTTACCATCCCTCTTGATACCACCTCAAAATTGCCAAAAACTGAATCCTACACCAGATGATAATCAAATAAATGCAAAAGGCGATTTCAATGGCGGCAGCATGAGCAAAATCGAACCGATTGACGAAGATCAAGATTATCCAGATGCTGAGACAACGTCCGAAACAGCGGCCAATTATAAAGACTACAAAGATGACGGAGGCTCCATTGAAAATGGCAACATTGATGACGATGACGACAAAGAAGCAATCGATAGTAAACCAATTTTAGGTAGCCTCAATGATATTTCCACAAATGTTGACGGTGATAAAGTGAATGCAAATGTAGACAAACAGTGCAGAGGCAGCGACGACGATACATGCAATGCCGGTGCAAATGATACGAATTTAAATGAAACAGATGCTAACGATAGAGACGATATTGATAGAAAATTAGGTGGGATTCTATTTCGAAATGTTCCATTTTTATTCATTACAAACGAAGAAATTTCCGTTTAATATTTTTCAACTACATTTTTTCCGTTAAATTGACTTTGAATTAAATCGATTTTTTTTTTAAATATTTCATAGCGCCCGCCACCACATCAACACAAAACGGTAAGTACTTTTGGATTTCTAAAAAAAGCGTATCGAAAAAATATTCACATCAAACATGAAACATAAAACCTAATATTGAACTTAGAAAATTTGATACTAAACTTGACACTTTTCGTTCCATTTTCGTTCTACGATCACGCACATTCAAAAACACGTTTAATTAGATGAAAATGACAATTTTAGATTCAGGTTCATTTCAAAATAGATACTCAATGAAAATTCGTAGGAACGAAAGTAACAAATGGAACATTTATTTGAAGCAATTGAATCTCCCCACTTTAGTTCTTATTAATGAATCAAAATAATGAAAACGATAGAAAAACGCGACTCATTGAACATTCTTGAAATGTTTCAGCGGCAGAAAATGACAACAACAACGACACCAATAACAATAGCAGTAACCATAATAATAATGTTAGCGGGAGTAGCGCTACCCATAACAATAACGAAGTTATAAAAACTGAAGGTGAGTTCCAACTGATTGCTAAATGAAAGAATTGATTGATTCAAGTCGTTTTGTATTTAAAATGCGAGCAAAGTAACAAAAAAAAATTCCAAGTGACAACAAAATAAGTCGCATATAGCGTCAAATTCGTACAGCGTTGTTTGTGAAAGACATGAAATATCCCTTAATTAGGACGAAATATTTAAACTTAAGCAAAATAATCAACTTCAAGATTATCCTCATTAAAAGAAGAGTTCATTGAAGAAAATTCCAATTGTAATTCAATCAATTTCAAATCAAACTTCATTTTTTTCTCGCCAAAAAAAAAGATTGTACTACGATAGCCGATTCGATATTGGGTCTAGGGAATAGTAACGGATTTTCGATGAATTACAACGACATGGATGATGGTAAGTCACCGGTGGGTTCAGTGTCATCGTTGTCACCCATATCGGTGACCGAGCATCCATTGTATGGCAATGGCATTTGTAAGTGGCCTGGTTGTGAAGCCATTTTCGATGAGCACCAATCATTCGTGAAGCACTTGAATGGCGAACACAATTTGGACGATCGATCGATTGCACAGGCTCGCGTCCAAATGCAAGTGGTGTCACAATTAGAGTTACAATTGCAAAAGGAGAGAGACAGACTTCAAGCGATGATGCATCATTTGTACTTATCAAAGCAGCATCTGGATTTGACGCGACAACCCCATGACAATGGTAATTTTCATTTTAAATCTAAATTTTTCGCAAATTTTCTCTCTTTTCATATAATTTTAATCCACTAAACTATTTGACGATTTCTAATTTAAAACCATTTAAAACTTTTCAAACGAAAAACACATTTTTATGATTGTTTCAACACTTGAATACTCATTTCCACTTTTTGAATTCCCATTTTATCCATCGGAATACCACAAAATGAACGCCGTTTTTTCCCTCAGGTGTTGGTGATTTGGCAAGCATATCGCATGCATTGCATCAACCGTCGCAGCAGCACGACTCACTAAACAATGCTAACAATGAGAATTGCATATTCGATCAGTTGGACGCTGTGCAATTGTCGCGCCATCATCAAAACAGTTCAAGCAATAGAGAGTTTAGCAGTAGAAAAATGAGCATGTCACCATATTTGAGCCCAACGTCGAAATTATCATCGTCGCTGAGCCATTCGCCCGGCATTCTCGGCACCAGCATCCCGTTGCGCCGTCAAATGAGCAATAAATCGTCACTTTCATTAGCAGGTGGTGCGTTTATATATACACTTTTTTTTTGGTTTCATCCTTTTTTCCTTCTTCCTTCTGTTTCATTTCACTTTCAATCTCATGAAATTCGTTCCGTTTTTTTTTCATCTCTCTTTTTCTCCCTTTTGAAAAGTCTTTCATTGCCAACTAACCAAATTCAATTTACTAATCTCGATGCCAATTTATCTACTTTCTTCTTTTCTATGCTCACACATTCTAAAGGATTACCATATATGCTTGAACGAGCCGGCCTTGACGTTCAACAAGGTCAGAGTCCATGATATGACGACGAAAGAAAAACTATACGCATTTTTTTAGCATTCACTGCTCTTTTTTTTCCTTGTACAACTTTGAACTCATCTAACTTTGATCAAGAAACGTTTTGTTTTCAATTCGCATAATTTTTCGCTGGCATTCATATGCGAAAACTTATGTTTTTGGCGGATAGAATGTAGTTTTTCGCGAAAAATGCTCACATGATATTGCAAACATTCGGTTTACGCCTCGAAAACTATACATTACCGTTGACCACTCCCCCACGGCAGTCAGCAAATGTACTCGCAAATTGCATGCCAGCAAACATTGTCGAATTGAATGAAGACACAACGTTTTCGTGTTCTTCAATAGTTTTCTCCTTTTTTTGTTTGTCATTGCTTTGGATTTCCTTTTCTGTATTTTTACCATTTTATTTCGTTCATTGCAACGAAAAACCTTTTATTTTGACTCTATTCATTTATTTTATATATAATATTAAATTCTATTTTGCCGTGCGTTTTTTTTTTTTTCTAAACACAACTACAGAAATACAACGAAATCGAGAATTCTACAAAAATGCCGATGTGAGACCTCCATTCACCTATGCATCACTGATTCGTCAAGTAAGTTGTGAGCCGTTTTGTTGTAAATATCTTAGAATTTATCACACAGTTCCAATTTTTGATTCAAACAAGAAAAGAAGAAGATTAGAAAATTGATTAAAAACTGTGAACTTAGAAGAGACCACGCGCAAAAATACATGTTTTGCCCCGAAAAACTCACTTAAGTCCATGAATAGAACAAACTTGAGCACAAGTAATCAATACAATGATCAGTATAATCAAAAAAAATTGTGAAAACTGATACTAAAAGACTTCAATAGAAGAAAAGAAAAAAAATTCTTCAAAAACAAAAAAAACAAAAAATCCTTAAAATTCCAAAGATTCCTCAAACTAATCAAGAACCATTGGGTGCAAATGTTTCGCCTCTTGGAATTTTTTTCTCCCTTCCCACAGTCAATCATCGAGTCACCGGATAAGCAACTGACGCTAAATGAAATTTACAACTGGTTTCAAAATACATTTTGCTATTTCCGCCGAAATGCAGCCACATGGAAGGTATTTATTATGCTCCCATACATACACTCTCGGTTAGGCGTTGTTTCAAAATTCCCTCGCAGAATAGACAGGGTAGAGAGAGATTTTCCGCGAATAATTGTTGAATCATTTTTTTTCCCATTGCTGATAAAATCGGCGGTTTAAGCTTAGGAGATTCACTGAGTGAGAGCAAAAGATTTGAGATGGTTTTAGATTAGGGATTTTAGACAGGGTCATTTAATAGGGGAAATGCGATTAAATCAAAGATGAAAAAAGCTCTGAATGAAATAGCACAATAGATTCGGGCTGTGATAGTCTGAGCGGCGATCCATTTTAAGGGGTTTATCAGCATTAGTCACGGAGAAGAAACAAGAAAGAAAAAAATTAATGCGGCACAAAATGTCAACGACACAAAGCTGTTGCTGCTGTTAATTTCCATATTTCATTCATTCTCTGGTTAGATAGTTGTTGAAATAGTTAAATTGGAATAAGAAACGAGAAACAAATAATAGTAAATTGAATAGGCGGTTGAAACTGTTTAAAGCAATGAAATTCCGTCAGTATCGACGGTAATAATAGACGGTCGTTCTATGTTTTTAAGTTAATTGATTTCGTTTTTTTTTGTTGACATTCAATTTGAAAATCGACGAAATCGTTTTTTGATACTTTGAAAGAGCAAATTTTTAACAATTGTTTTCTGTCTATTCAAAAAAAAAATGGAATTGAATCAAACACACACACACACACACACACAAATCTCAATCTAAAATTGGAAATGTCCTCCTCAAAACAAACACATACACACAACTCACAAAAAAAATCTCATTTTGCAAATGGCTTTTGCAACTAAAATTCCAAATGAACCAACAACAACAACAAAAACACATACAAAACAAATCCCCGAATTGAAAATTGAGTAGAACGCAGTTAGGCATAATCTGTCGTTGCATAAATGCTTTATGAGAGTGGAAAATGTGAAGGGAGCCGTTTGGACCGTCGATGAAATCGAGTTTTATAAACGTCGCCCGCAACGGTGTGCTGGCGGTGCGAGTAGTTCGTCATCGTCGGCGAATAGTCAAAGCGTCGGAAGCCACAGCAATCAGATGAACAACGGTAATAATGGCGGTGGCAGCGGAAGCAGTGGCGGTGGCGGCAACGGTCCTGGTGGCAGTCATAGTTTAAGCGTCACAACAGCGGCCAATTTGCTTGCACAAAATTTCCAACGCCCAATCGATTCGAACACGAATTTCGGTAAAGTGCAGACCATTTCAGCGGCCGCTGCTGCAGCCGCTGCATTTCAATCAAATCAGAAAGCATCCACCAATGCGGCTCTATCGTCGGCGGTCGCTGCCGCCGCAGCACTACACTTGAAAACAACCGGCGGATATCAAAGGTGCGACACTACTTACTTTTTACTACTCACTATTTTCCGTAACCACTTTTCCAATTTAATCGAAATACCAATTTGTTGTTTTTAATTTCGTTTTCTTGGGAAAATTTACTAACCAAATATTTTTCGATTTAAAAAAAAAACACTAAACAATCTCTTCAATTGTTGTTTTTACTTTGAAAGGCGAATTTTAAGACCAGCAAACATGTGGCATTCGATTTGAAAGAATTTTCACATTGAATTGTCACAGGTTTCTCGCCTTTGAAACTCGTCTTTCATAAAAAATATAAATCGTTCCGTACTTTTTGTTCCAAAACTACTTTTTATATCTTCTTTCTCCTTTATCGGACATTTTTTTTCGAACAAACTAACCACATCGTTTATGTTTCGAATTTTCTTTCATCTATTTACTTAAAACATAAATAATCAGCTTTTTCCTTAACCAAATACAATATTTTTATATATATTTACACCTTTCACTCATTCGATATACGTTATTCTCAAAATACACACCAACTCTAACAAATAACTAATCAATTCAACCAGAATGTACCATTGTACACATACAGCGTATACATATACCGTTTTACTTCTAACTTTTTTTCACCTAAACCTTTTGATACTAACCATTTCACGATATTTAATCCATGTGGTATTTCATTTTTTAACCAATTTTACTCGCCATTCTATTCAAATCCTTTTCATTACACCTTTGATCTTAGTGAGTTATTCTCGTATCTCTCAATTTTCGACTTACTCGAAATTACTTCGAAACTGTGTTTTCTCTCTCTTCACCTCTTTTATCTTCCAATTCTTCTCAGAAATTATTATATATCTTCAAATATTACAAAACGACACATCTCTCGACATATTATACTCTCAATTATTTGTAAAACTTCAATGAGTCATATAAATATCTTCTATTACAAGTGAATGGACTATTTGGAAGCGAACATTTTTGTTGTGGCTGAAATACAACACCGTTACACATTGTACACAAGTTGTACACACATTGTTGTGCTTGAGCCTCATCAGAAAACGTGAACGACCATTGCATTCACTTTATTTAACTTATTTTTTGAATCTTTTTTCACTTTAACTAGACTAGATGCATGCTTTTCGATATCTCTTACAATTGGATTTTTCATCATTTATTCAATTCAAAAACGACTCTTTTCTCTAAATGTTCTCCTTCACTTATTCAAACAACGAGGTTTCAAAGTCAATACATTCGAATCGATTTCATACCGGAACTTTTACCTAAATATGAAAAGGATTTTTTTAAAAGTTGTAGTTTTTACAGAAAAAAAAACAATTTTATTTTACTTTAAGTTCTTTCGAAAACTTTATGATGTATCAAGAACACACACGTACATATATATTGCCGATATGTATGTTGCAATACATTGTGAAACTCGCTGCAACAAAACAAATGTATCAACTTTCAAACATCGTTTTAGTCCTTTTTTCAACAGTTATTATTTAGTAGCGTTAACTCGTTTCGTTTTGTAAAACATCAAATTTTTCTTCCTTTTCTACATACGATCGACGTTTTTTTTTACGTTTTTCGACTTTCTCTTCTTTTCATCACATTTTCTCCTTTTCTAAGAGTTTACCAGACTTTTTAAGATATATATATTCCTTAATGACGAGTAAAGAACATTCAAGTGTTTTTTTTTCTATAGTGCTTCAATGAGTCTATTAATTAATAAACTTTAACGTCTATCATAATAGACTATCTTATAATCATGAATCATCTTAAAATTTCAAACCAGAAATCATTCAAATTCTTTAAACATGATAAAAAAAAATATGTTTAGCTATAAATCTCTAATATTTTGGAAAAATAAAGCTCAAAGTCTGGTATATTCTTATTTTCATGCTTTTCTCTCTCAAATTTGAATAGTTTTCGATTTTTAACTTCTTAATACTACGTAGAAATTTTTAATCTTCTTTCAAATTCTTTAAATTCTTCTGTTTTTGTAATTAATCGGTAGATTCATTCACAATTCCTTGCGAAATTATCACGTTGCAGCGTATTTCATTTGGTTGACTTGAAAAATAATATTTTTCATTCTTAATTTTTGATATTGAGTATTTTCTAAGAGTTAGACACTGACTCAAAATGAACAAACAAAGATTCATTCATAGTTTTTGGAATCTACTCGATCACAAACTGAGATAAAGTTGACGAATCATGTACGCTAAGATAGAATGTCTTTGTCTACCCATATTTTGAATTACGGGTATTTCGAAATGCAAAATTGCCTATTCATATTCATCATTTTCTTCACCTCTGTACGAATTCAGACCATGGTCAAAAGGGTATCCATTAAATTTCAAACATCACTTCATAATAATCAAATATAATGACTTCAACGTAGTCTATGCTTGTGATGTATCATAAATGCTACTTTTTCAATACATAATTTCGACTTTTATTTTTAATCAAAAAAGTTTCCATTTTAAATTTCACCAATCATCTTGAAAATCCAAAATGTTGTTCACATTTTTTCGGTTAACATGTCCTTTTTTCGAATAATCATGATCTATTTTTTATTGAAAACTATTCAAGTCGACCGATGCTATAAACACTGCTGATCAAATTTCGCATTGAAACTTCTTTCGTTCAATTTTTCAAAAACTTTTAGACACATTTTTTCTTTACATTTTTCATCATTTTCTTCTCACATATCCTTACGTAGTTTTCTTAAGTAGTTTTTGTCATTCTTTTTAAGATCTTTTTCTCGTGAACTTTTCAATTTTCTTCAATATTCAATTGTCATTTGATTCTTCAAAAAATATCACAATTTAAAATTCGCACATTTAGTGAGTAGAAATAGAAAACATGTATTTTTATCTTTCCGCTGTAGTTTTCTTCTTATGTTTTCACATTTTCGGAAAACACTTGTTTTGAAAGTCTTTCTATTGCTTACACAATATTTTAAACTGGCGTGTTTTTTTTTAAAACCTCTTCTCTAACTATGATTATTCTATTAACAACATATGATAAAGGAGTGTTTCTTTTTGAACCGTAAACGTGATTTCAGTAATAAAAGTGTGTGTATTCCTTTTTGATTTATGGCAATTGATGGCGTGAAAGTGTATGTGAGTGTGAATTTTATGGAAAGAAAATATACTTTGTATCACATTTTATGTTTAATTCTCTTGCGATTTCACTGACACGCAATAATTTAGATCTAATCTGCACCAAACCGCACACAATTCGCATATCAATAAAAACGTATGAATTTTCTGTAAGTCTGAGTGGCAGACAGTTTTTCGATTTGTTTTTAATTTGAAAAAAAAAAATGAATAAGCAGTAGCCAATGGTATTCAAAGAATGTGGATGGCCATGAGTGGCGTGGTATGCAGGGATTGTTTTGTTTGTCTGGGTTTTAATCGTGGGCGGTTAATTTCTTTGGTTTGAAATGGAAGCAATCGAATTAAAAATGAAGCAACTGCATTTAGGACACGAAAATAGGGAGAAGAATAAATGAGGAAAAGAATCGGAAAAGAGGGGAACATTCCGATCGATGAGGGAATAATTTGCGCGTCACATGCATTTTGAAGAAAGATTAAAAACTCGAATGCAATGCTCACATTTTTTTTCTCATGTTAACACACACAAAAAAACACTGACAATTGAATAACCGTAGAATGCGATACGTACGAATTTGTCGCTGCATAAATGCTTTGTGCGTTATGAGGATGACTTTGGTTCATTTTGGATGGTGGACGATAATGAGTTTATTAAACGGCGCCACTTGTCACGTGGTCGGCCCCGCAAATATGATCCAAATGCAGTAAATGCAGTGACTGACAGTGATCAGCAACCGGCACCGTCACAATCTCAATCGCAAAATCATCATCATCATCATCAGCAATCATCATTGAATCATGCAAACACATCGAATGCCAATCAACAGCAGCAACAATCGCATCAGCACACAAAGCACACGGTGTCTGGACCGCATGGTGGTGGTGGCGGTGGCGGTGGCGGTGGCGCCGCTGCGGCAAATGCCAAATACAACAACGATCACACGAATGCAATGCAACCGAATGCAACGCATCTCATGCAAAATGTCACAACGAATTTAGGACAACCGAGCAATGGCATCAATCATCATTATTTCTCAAGCCCGGTGCCTCCTACACAGTAAGCAAAAACAAACAAACAAAAAAAAACCAAACACACAATCACACACACTAAATTGTCATTTTTCTCGAAATACTTTTTGTTTTACATTTTTTTTTTCGGTTTTATATCGCAACCAAATCGAGATTCGAAATGGCTCTACATTTCATGTAGTGCTGAAAATACACGCAAAACTTCGTGACCTGTGAAAATTACCTCTTTTCCACCAGAAAGAAGGAGGTTCCAAATCGCGATGTGAAAAAAAATTACAGTTTTTGCACAAGCTTTTTGTTTTCGTTAATCCACTTGTGCTCGAACTGACAGTTTATTGGCTACACAACTGTACAGAAAACAAAAAAAGCATAGAAAACGAAATCGAAGCATAAGACAGCATTGCGCTTGCTACACAAATTGTATCTCATTGTTATTTTATGATTTTGTTGATGCTGTGAAATGCAACACGTTCGCAAGTTCATTTTTTCTGTATGTCGAATTTTTGGTCACAACCAAATCAAATGTTGTTCGAAAGCTTAGTGGTAAACATATTTATATAGCGTTGCTGCATAGTTTCTCTCCTTGTTTGCTCAATTCAACACATACTTGCATTTAGTTCGTTTTTTTTTACATCAATCGAACGGTTCATTACTTGGATCAGAATTTGTTTTTTTTTACAGAAAATCAAAAATACCAATTTTATATTTGTACATTTTTATTAAATGGGATTCATGTTTGTTTTGATATTATCGATACCAAAAAAAAGAAGAAATTGTTTTGGCATTCGTTAAATCAGCTCACACTTTGCATTGTTCGCAATTTGATCCATTGTTTTAGTGTTTAGAGTAGTTTTCTTTTTCTAAATGTTCATGTCACAAACATATTTCGATTTCATACGAACAACAAAAACCGTTTGCTTAGACTTGTTTAGGAGCTCATTTGTTTTTTTTTTGTTCATATCAATAATGGATGTTCACATCAATGATTTTGATTATGAGATCACATAAAATGTTCACCATTGGCACAAAACACACATCAATTATATCGCAAATATACACTCGATATAGGATGGATTCGATTCGATATAGGATGGATTCGATCATTCGTCACAAATGACGCACTGATGGGCTATCGGTGAGATGGCTCTACTTTAGCGGTTTAAAACTTAAGAAAATAAAAAATTGAAAATTAATCCAAAAATGAACGGAAATTGACAATGAAACGAAAAGAAAAACATTTAAATTGACCTTTTCTTCGGAAAACCGCCCAAAGAGAGCCCAAAGACTGTAAAAACAAAATACATCGTTGAATTGCTTGCCAAAATTATCGATAGAATGTTTCGAACAAAACGAGATTTTAGAGAGAAAAAGCGGTTCAACTCATGAAAATTGAAAACATTTTATGAAATTTCATCATCACCAAATGCATACACACATCAAAATCGCTTTACCGATTCATTTTGCTAGACGTGGATTCGTGTAGCCATTCTCATTTTGGTTAATTTTTATTTTTTGTAAGTAGCTCATTGCAACTTTTGGGTCGAGTCAATCGAAATTGTCTGGCAAATTTTAGATAAATAAGTGAAAAAAAACGTGAAATCATGAGGAAAATCTGTTCAAAAATGACTTCAAAACAGTTCAATCAAATATTCAAAATAAAACAATAGCCTTACATTTCGTGTAGTGCTAAAAGGATAGAATGTTAAAAAAAAATTACACAAAAAATGGAATAAAATACATAATAAGTTAGTTTTGGTGTTTTTTGGCAAACGTCAATTGGCTTCCAAGTTGAGATGCGCTCGGACATGTTAAATTCAAATGAAATTCTTCTTTTGCTCCAAAATGGTGACCTAATCAGTTTATGTAAATATTGATAAAAATCGACAAAACACATCTGCAACTGAAAACTCGAACCAAAGTTTCTCTCTCATTGTATATGCCCACATTCGTACATCGCTTCATTCCTTCGTTTGCTTGCACGATTTTCATAAATCGGATTATTCGTTTGCTAACTAGTCTGAATGTGTTGTTTTTTTTTGCCTGAGTGCATGCTTTTCACCCGCATTTTATTAACAACTCATTCGATGCTAATAGAATTGTGTCGCTATGAGAATTTTGTCTGGTTGTTAGTGATTTGACATTTTTCTGTGTGCTATTTGTTCTTTGATATTCTGAATATGCCTCTGCCTTCGGTCGAGAAAGTCATCGAATTCCATTTGTTAGTAGAATGGGGAAGTTTTTAGTAGTCGAGCTATTTAGCTCGTTTAATTGGTTAATCAGAGATTCTGATTTAGAATCAGAAAATCATTGGGATCATTACAAAACCAAATCAGTTTAATAATTAAAATTCAAATTTGGTTTTAGTAAGTTTCGGTGCGATTCCAACGATTCAATTTTAGACGATTCTAAACATAACGAAAATGATTGTAAATAAGAAACAAATTGAATTCGGTGAGTTTCTTGCGAACGAAGTCTTTTATCAAATTGTTGCATGCTTTTTTACGCTAACGTTTTTACTCACGCTTTTCCACTCTTTTACAGTAGTTTGATTTTTCAATTCCAAATCTTTGTCAATTTTTTTCCTAAATTATTTCCAACTTTTGATACATTTTTGAATGTATATATGTATTTTTTCGAAATATTTTTCAAATTTTTCGTACTTTTTCAACGTTTTTTCCATCTTTTTCGATTCTTCTGCATGTTTTTTATCTTCAAAATTCTAAGTGTTCACCTTTTTTTTAATACATTTTTCGAAATTTTACCTTCAATTTCCCATTTGGGACATTTTTCTTCCATTTTTCTTCTACTTCTTCTTCAATTTTCCAATGTCTTTTACAACTTCTCTTTTGCTTCACTTTTCTACGTTTTTCTTTCAATTCACTCTTTGTTCATCATATTTCAATTTTCATATTAATTCTAGTTTTCTAACTTTAACACTTTTTATTCGCTTCGACAAATTTGTTATCCATTAACTTTATACTTCTTTCAATCTGGTGAACGTCCATGGAAATACGCTGGCAAACTCATATTTTCCTAAACATTTTCTTACTGAATCAAATTCATATTTTTGCCCAAAATCATAAATGAAATCATTGCATACGATGAATTCAAATCGCGTGCATTTTTATGGACTAACACCAGATTTTCCTCCTTCAATAATTTATCTTATTCATATAGTAAAACTTACTTAGGTTATGTGTCAAAATCGAAAAAAGTCGTTATTTTTATTTTCCGTTGGGATTTATTTAGGTTGCCAAATCCATCGTCAGCGTTGTATCCAAAGGATGCATTCCAAACGAATTTACAGGTATGTTAACGATTTTTAGCTCGATAAAGAGAAAGATTTTTTTTTTTTAATTTAAAATCGCAAATTTGAACGACACCGAAAAAAACTAGAATTTTTGGCCATGCCCACCGAGATTATTGGATGAGAGCTTCTTAGCCAGTCATCATCAGCACTTGAGATCCGACAAAATGAGATGCCATTCAGCCAGTCCACGACGCTCACCAATACCACATCTCAATCGTTTCGATTTCATGTAAGTTTACTAGACACAATTGAGCATTAATGAAATTCGGCAGATTAAACTCTATTGATGAGCAGTACGTGCTCATTGGGCACATGTGGTTAAAGTGAGATGAAAAAGACGTTGAAAATAGAAAAATTGAACTAATGAACAATGAACACTCGAATTAGGATCAACACACCGATTTGAAGTATCCAAAACTTGATTATAAAAGGATGGATTTTAATCAAAACTTTTCATAATCAACTTAAAAGCCTATATCTTAAAAAAAAAGTCTGAAAAAGAAAGGAAGTGTCTGAAACAAGAATTCAAAGTGAATTTGGACGAGAAAGAAACGGAAGAGAATTTGGAATTGGTTCACGGTTTTTATATTTCAAAAAAAAGACGAGGAAATCAACGAATTCAAATGGTTTGGTTTCGACTTAAATCCTTAGTATAGTTGACTTATTCATCATCACTTTTGCCACTTGAATGTGCAAAAGCGAACAAACAAAAAATTCAAAGTTAAGACATGTCGAATGCAAGCGAAAAAAACCCATTGTTTCAACCAATTTCCCTTTTCGATTTAGCTCAACTCTAAACGGTGCTATTGCTTCATCCGGCGTAAAAATGGAGTCACTCCCGATGGGTTCGATGGATATGAATGAGCATCCATTCAGTCCGCAGATGACGCCACAGCAATACGAGCAGCAAATGCATAAACATCAACAAATTATATCAAATTTATTCAAACGAGACGGCAATTAAACGAATGCAACGCACCGCACAACCAGCCCAGCTCAGCCATCCCATTCAGCCGGAGAGCGTGAAAAGTACTTAAAAACCGATGATTCACCGTACAAAATCGATTTGTTCGATTTTAATGCAAAAACCGACCCATTGCCGGAGTGAGTACGTGAACTCATCACGAATGAACATGAAACTAGAAATAAAATCTATAGAAAAGTATCAAACCAGAACAAACAAGAAAAAAAAAAACGAGAACGAAACTGAAACTTAAATACGAATGCTATAGTATTTTTTTGGTTTGCTTTGGCCGCAGTGCGTTTTGGTTTTTATTTGTGCGACCAGGAGAAAAAAAAAACAAAAGAACAGTAAAATCTCTCACCCAAACCATTATCTATGGGCCGAGAATCGGCGCGGCGAAGAAGACTCTGACGGGGACGTAGTCAAGTGTAAGTAATATGGCAAGAAGATTCAGTGCAGAAGAAAGACATTACACGCTTGAAACAAAGCACAAACGAAATTCAACGGGAAAATCAACAAAAGAACAACGATGCGTGTGAGCGTGCGCGCGCGCGCCTCTGTGCACTGCACAAATCGACACACGCAAAGCAATAAAAAATAACTAGATGAAGAAAGTGATGAGACTGCTCGATAAGGAATCGAATCAATCGCTTTTTGTGCACTGCTAATCCGGTTAATTTTCATCGTTCTACGTCTCTCTCGCTCCCCTAATTCAGAAGAGGAGACGAGATTGTGTGCAACGATCATCAAACATCGACACAGCCATAAAGCATACGTTGAAATACACACACTCCATTGAGTCATTGTCCCGCAAGAATCGCTGCTGCCGAAACACAATAGAAAATGACATCCCATTCCCAACGAAAGCTACCGACTCTAAATTAAAAGGAACATATTTAGAATCAAGCGTATGCCATTTCTGATAAAGTCTATCGCTTATTTTCCATGAATCCTTACCATGAAGTCCATGAAATCTTACAGTCGCACATTTTGGGCAGCTCAACCGTTGAAGTTACTTCAACGAAGCTCGATTCGAACATTTCGCTTTCGTTCTACGAGACATTCTATTCATTTCAAGGGTAAATTTGCGGAAAAAATACACAAAAACACAGCCAAATAAGAAAAACTGATCTTCCGGAGGAAAATTTTTTGTTTTCAACAGCTTCAACCCATGGGCCATGGAACTACTTCACAAACTTTATTTCGCTTCCATCAACTTGATGAACTTTTTCCATCAAATTGAAAGAAAAAACTCTTTTGCCGAGACATGAATGAGCCATATGTGTATGGTTAGCGATTTACATTCATTTAATAATTAAAATTCATTGCAATGATATGTCATGAGAGTGAAATCGCCAAAGCCCAGTACTTGGGCTTACAAAGTCTATTTGGCATCCAGTTAAATTTTCTTCTCACACTAAAAATGGTTTTCCTGTGAATTTGTCAAAGCGCTTAATTTCTGCAATCTGCAGCAATTGATTTGTATAGAATTCCTTATACAATGAGTTAAATTGGAAAATTCCGAATAGTTTCGTTGAGTTGTATAAATGAAAATTTTCGACATGTGGTCGTTTTTATTCGAAGAAAAATTCATCGGAAAACGCAATGTGAGACAGAAGCGTATATTTAGATGTCTTTTTTTTTTCATTAGATTTAATAAGATTTAAGATTTAACTGTGCTATGAGATACTATATATATCTGAGGGTAACTGTTTCATATCAAACGCATATGAGAATAGATTTAGAAATCAAAATAAATCAAATTAATATTACAACAAATAGGATGTGGAAATGGTGTGTAAAATGTAAAAGAGAGCAACTTTAATCGATCGAAACTCGATCACGAAGTAATGTTTTGAACTAAAACCAAAACCTGACTCACACAATTTTGGATCAAGATCGTGCACGCAAATTCCGAAAAACACCGTGTTTTCATTTCTCTTCTGAAAACATTTAAAAACAAAACATTAACCGAAAAAATGTAATTATCTCTTTAGTCTATAAAATTATATACGACACAACCACACACACACACACATATTATAGGTTTATGCTACGTATTAAAGAAAACAAAAATTAATGTTATAGCTAAAATGGCGTTTATACCATACGCATTATTCAATCAAAACAAAAAAAAAGTTTACAAATTAAAGTAGAGCGATTCATTATCCATGTCTAACCAAACAAAAGAAAAAATCGTAATAGTTCTCCCCCGGTTCAAATCCCATTCATCAGTTTTGTACGTTTACAGTTCAATAGATATGAGACAGATTTTATTTGTCATGCAATCCAACAATTCGTTCAGAAAGATACATCCATTTCCAAATCGGACTTTTTTTCCCGAATTTGGATCTTCTAATTCACTTCTTCCAACCGGTTACTTCTTGCAACCCAAATCGATTTTGTTTAAATCAAATTTTTCGATTCAAATCGTTTTTGTTTAAAACATTCGACTCAAATGCCAATAGACTTTTTGAAATGACACAAACAAAAAACAAACAAACAAGAAATCGTATTTAAAGCATATATTTATTATGAAATAAATAGGTATTAACATAGGAGTCATTTCGGTAGATGTGTGTATTCAATGCATATATTCTTTGGAAGGAAAAAAAGACGAATTTTGAACAAAAATAACATTTTGACGTTAAACAAGGAACAAATTACTCCGAGCAATCACTCAGTTTGGATTAAACAGAATAGAGGGATAAATTCAACGGTCCTAGTCAGATCCAATCAAGAATCTAAGTTCCTTGGTTCCAAGTGGATAATGGATACCCACTCAAAAAGGGAGAAATGAAACAGAAAAAGATCGTAAATTGCAAAAATTGGTGGAAGAAAAGTTTCAAGAGATCAGATTGAATGCCATTCAATGGAGAGGAGTATACTGAACAGACAGAAAGATTCGAAATCAATGAAAAGATCAGAAGATTTGAGGAGGGACAACAGATCTTTGTTCTTGCTGTCAATTTTTCAATGTCATAGAAAAAAAATTGTCCACTCGTCTATATTCGCTCTTTGAGAGGAGAAAGTAGAGAAAATTCCAATCTTCATCAAAGCCTGACAACAACACAGTCGAACTTTATCGAAGCGTTTGTTAAGGCGGGAATTGAATCTGTTTTACGCAAAAAGTATTTTGAAATGGTAATATACAAAGTAGAACGCAACTCGCCAGTGCAAATTGTACACTCTACGTATTAAAATCGTACCATCAGTGTACTCAGTTGCGTTGTTCTTTATGATACACACTTTGACTTTTTCCAACCATAATTTCAACCTGAATATGGCACTCTTTTGCATGTAGCGCATTCAAATTCCCTTTTTTTTATCAATAAATGGTTATAAGTTCCACTTTGGTAAACGCCTTGATAATGTCTAGAAGTTCTTTTCAGTGTTTCATATGATCGTCCGGTGATCATCACCGCGAATACACGTCAGTATTCGTAATAGTGAACACTGAACATCGACAGTAGTGAATTTGTATCAAGAAAGTCAAACACGGTTAAGATCGGATTGTCATCAAAGCAAATGTCGTTTATTGTCAATGAATGCTCCTCACGAATACAAAGTCAAGGAATTCCCCGTTGACGGCTAATCGTCTGGAGATAAAGAAAACTAGCAAAGAAATGGTTCAAACTGTAATTAATAAACACAAAAAAAGTATTAAAGTTATTAGTCATGAATCTCGTTATACATATATGTATTCTCATTATCCGATTTGAAAAAACAAAAAGCAAAAATGATAAAATAATCGACGGATTGATCGAATGGCGTGGCCCTGATGGACAAATGTAAAATGGAAAAATTGTGAAATGCAATTGGTTTGGACAAAAACAAGCATATCAATGGTTATAATCCATGAAATAGAGGAAAAGAGAGAAAAAGAGAACAAAAACGTTCGCATTTTGATTCAACAAGATGGCACGTCTCATTTTGCGCTTTATCTCATGAATCAATGTGGAGTCAAAATCATCGTATTGCATTTCTATATGTTATATTTCGACTCTATTCCAGTATGTAAATTTACTAACTTAAAACAATACATTTAGAAGATCATACATCAGAAACAAAACTCTCTCTTTAAGTGTAAAAAAAGCGGTGGAAGCCGCGAAAAAAAATTGAAAGCAAAAAAAAGAACGTTTTTCAAAAACTCATTAGCAATGGTGACAACAGCAAACACAATCATCTCCTTTTATCGAAGCAAAAAAAAATGTAGCCAAACTCACATAAGTATTCAATTATTATCCAATGAAAATCTCGCACTTTTTCGACAGCAAATGAAATTGAGTTTCATTTGATTTTATTCAGAAAAATAATTTTCCAATCAATTGATTGAGAATATTGAGCGTGTTTTCTTTCGACCAAATTCGAAATTCAAAAATCTATTGGACAAAACTAAATATGTTGATCACTTGGGATACACAAAAATGTACACAAGAATTTATTCGATTTGATTTAGCTAAAAGCAAGAAACAATTGGCTAGAGAAACAAAACAAAATTATGACTAGAAATCAAGGAAGCGTGCACACGCATCCATTATTTTTCATTTAAAAAAAAGAAGAAAAAAACGCTGACGAAGAGCTAAGTTTTATTTTTTTAGTTAGCAATTAAATTGGACGGTTCTATGAAAAAAAAATTGATGCATAAATTTGTTATATTGAATAAGTTTTCAATTGGATTTGAAAAATCGAGAAATGTTAATTAGATAAAAAATAATCGATGCAATGTGAAAAGCGAAAAATTTAAGAAGATTTAAATGAAAAAAAAAGAAAAGAAATTAATGAAATTAATGAAGCAAACGCATATGAAATCTTACAAAAAATCAATTTTATCAAATTAAGTCAGAACATCCATTTGTTACGATTAAGTCACACTTCACATACACCAACACACATATGAATGTATCATAAAAATATTGATTGTAAAGAAACAACTCGTACCCCACACAATATATATAACTAATTCAAAGTGGACGATAATAAAATTAGAGAAGAAAAAAAAAAACAAACGAATTTGCGTTTTTTGTTGTTGTTGTTTTTTTTTTTAATAAATAAGAATATTTTGAAGGTGAATTGAATTATTTTAAAGGCGAATAAAATCAATTCAAAGGTAACAAGATTCTTTTTCAACGAAGACATCAGGATATTATAAATTTTTTGAGAACAACCAAACATTTTCTGAGAATGTATCAACACATTTATTTGTTTTCAAAAGGAGAGAGTTGTTTGGTTAAGGTGAGTATTATTTAATTAGTTTGAGTCTAAGACAAGCTTCTTATTCTTGGATTCTCCTTCTGTATTTATTCCACTGTCTTCTATGTCGTCGTCGGTGCTTGAAAAATGTTATTCGAATGTCAATCGGTGGATTTTTCCGAGTGGCGGTGATAAATTCATCGAAATACAACGATTTCGCAACGGAAGCGTGACTACGTGAGAACATTTCTCCGTCTCATATTTCGTGTCTGCGATTTAATTTAATTGTCACCTTATTTATGACTAAGCTGTTGCCTCACCCTCCTTATTTTTCCCCACCTTGATTATTTATTCGAAATGCCACAAAACCCGGAACAAAAAGTACAGAACAGTATATTTGAACTCCCAGTGCAATAACAAAGCAACTTTTTTAATTAGTTTATTCGCTGACACACTGATTTATTGCACATGTTTGGATTTAGATTTTTGCCGCGATTCGATGCAGCTGAATGTGAACGAGGAAGAGGAGGAGATTGAAAGAAATGAAAAAAAAAATTGAAAACAATGAAGAAGAAAGAAAATGATTTAAAAAAATGAAACAAGAATGAAAATCAGAAGAGGAACAAAGGTCAAAGAAAGGAGAAAAGTTGAGGAAAAAATATAAAATTTTCAAGGCAATCTTCAGTTTTGTCCAGATCTTTTTGAATTTTTTTATTGTCAACTCTTTTGATCAGAGTTATTTTAGAATAAGCAAATTTTTTCTAATTGCGCAAAATGTCAGAATTTTTCAGACTATTCAGATTTTTATTCAATTTTAATATTTCCAAAGTCTTCCAAATTGTTGTTTAACAAAACAAAGGTACTGAAGAAAAAATACAGCAGAAAATCAAGATGAAATAGCATTGTTCGTTGGCCGTGGCATTTCGTAGCGCGCACAATCCTTATTCCGGGATTGATATAAGACCTCATTAAGAATGTCGCTGAAAATTAATAAGATTTTCTGTTTTCTTTATGTGTGTGGATTTTTTGTTGCTGCTGTTTGCTTCTCGCGTTGGCATTTGTCGGGTTTAATTGAAATTCGCGCATTTTTCACATCACAATCACAACAGTATTTTTTAACTGTGAGATATGCATCGAATGAATTTTCCGCTTGGTATGTATTCACTTTCAGTTGGTGGCGAGGTGTATATTTTGTGTCATTGTTTATTTGCCGTTGCTTTTTGCGCTGTTCGCTGGCACGTTTGATAAGTGAATTGTAATTTTTATTATACGCTTCTTCACTTGAGAGTTTTTCACGTACCGTTTTTTCTGCTTATATTTAAGGCGACGCGAGTATGTGTTGGTATTTGTATATGTTTTTTTTCACAGGGCGCGCTCGCGTATTTTATGCTTTAATTAAATTATTTTATGAGCGAGACACACACTCACAAAATGAAAATTCGACGTAAATTGCAACGATCAATTTACGTGGAATAGTTTCCATTCCTGAGTATGGAATATTTCCGAATCAAGTCTTGTTTGAATTTTTAACCATTAATTTCCCATTTTAAAAACGATTTGCTGCGATAACACATCAACCTTTCTTCCACCATTTGCTTGCGATACAAAGAAGTCTTGTAAAAACGTAATTCAATCCACTTGATATGGGTGCTCTTTTTTAATGTAACCCTTCCTCTCGCTCTCTTCTCCCGGTGTATGTGAAAAGATGCCGGTAGAGTACTTAACGCGAATTAAAAGCATGTCGAACGACATGCAGATGCGCAACAATTAGTTAGTGATTTGCTTGTTTTCATAAACATACACACACCGAACACAAAACAACGACAAGTACAGTTGCGCACACATATCACAAATGGCATCGGATATATTGATGTTGCTTCGTTGTTGGATGCCATCAACCAGGTAGGTATGCCTTTAATTTTCGTATAACTTTTACATTTCCAAATGATAAACATTTTCGAGTTTAATTTCGTATTTGCTGCTTGCCACTTCCACTGTCGCAGCAGCAGCAGCCGCAACAACAAAACCGACAGACAGATTGATGAAGCATATGTGAATTTAACGAAATCCAAAAACTCATATAAGAGCATGCCAATAACGATGCTGTTACGAAAATTTAATTTCGGAAATTTTCTCCGCTTGCCGTTCACAGCGAAAACGACCCCTTTTTCATTCGACGTCGTTGTTGCGTAAGTGAAAGGAAGAAAAAGAAAGGTGCCGATGATGAGAAGACAAAGTGCTTCGTTTAACGATTGCTTGCGGTGTTGGTATGTGGCACGCGGTGAGATGGTTAATAGAGCGACATCAGCCGCAAAAATAATTGAAGGGGAACACACATCCACAACTAAATAACGACCGAGTTGAAGAATGGTAGTTTAAAATGTAGATTCAATATTATTTTTTTGAGAATAATTCCTTTCAATGTGCCCTGAACTCCCATTCAAATCCATTACATATTTATGGATATTATTGCGATTGTTTGATCACATTTTATCACATGAAAAAAATATAAAATGCTTTGAATGCGATCAATTGATTTGAAATTTTGTTCAGCGCCAAATAAAAACATTCAGCACAAATCACTTGTCAACACAAAATGACGTTTTCTGCTAAAAAAAAAAAAAACTCGCCGTATCAAAGTATTAGTATTCATGCGAAGCCGCTTGTTTTTTTCTCGCACACATCAACAGGTCAACATAACCACAAAAATGTCAACTGGCTTTTTCTATCATTTTGCCTGTCATTGCATTCAATCTGTTTTCCAGTAGCACACAGAAGTCACTTGTGAAGCCGTCTAATTATCTTCTATAAAATACAGAATTTTATTGTTTGTCACAGTTTATCTCATTCATTCCATATTGTTAAGCGAAAAAGTCTAGTTTAGTTTATTTTGTATGACAAACTTAATTTGAAACCATCTCGAAGATATTGGCGGACGCGAAAATCGATCTCAGAAGAATCGCACACCGGCCGCTGCATCAAAGTTGTTTCGGTATATTACACAAACGTGACCTTATAAAACACACTCAAAGAAAGCGTAGCCTTTTCAAGTAAGTATAAACTGGAGCGACTCATATATTGAACGAATATCAGACGTCAAATTAGAAGTGATGCACGCAGTTCATTCGAATTGTGTTCAAAAGTCCAAGAATTGTAATTATATTGTGAAATTTGGTTTTTCTTTGTATTTTACTTTGATTGACTGACAGTTTGCGCAAGAAAATTGAAGCGAAATTGTGGTGAATTGACCAGATTGAAATTGAACAGATTACAACGTAGATTTGCTTGGCCACAGCACGTTTTTCTGTCAAATTTGAAGGTAAGAGTTTTCACTAGTATCATTCTAATGAAACGTTTTTATGTTAAAGTCAAACATGGCATAAATCAAGTATTAATTATCCAACATTTTGATGTTCATTATTTAATATGTACGCAATATTACTGTTGTTTCTTCTCGTATGTCTGCATTGGGTCAGCATCGAGCAACAAATTCAGAAGTGATCTCAATTTGTACAGTTTGAGCCATAGACACTGTTTGATTTACCAC